TGTTGAGCTGCCGTTTGAGACTTGTACGAGTTCTAAATTCCCTTTCTTATATTTGGATACGGTAGGCAGTCGTTTTTCAGCGGCGTGATACTGTATTTTTTAATGTTACAGCTACGGTGCAAAAATGATCATCCCAGTCAGATGTTTCACATGCGGCAAAATAGTTGGAAACAAGTGGGAAGCCTATCTCGGCCTGCTGCAAGCAGAATATACAGAAGGGTGGGTATCATTTCCGTATGTTCGACTCAGATTTTAGGTGAGATTGCATGGTGCGTAAGATACATACATGCAGGATCGTGGCATTACAAAGTAGCTGTAAAGAGCCTAAAAACTAGAGATGCATTCTGAGGCTAACTATTTAACCAGAGGTTAGGAATTATAATAGGTAAGAAAGTGCTTGTTTCCCTACTGAATCTTTCTGGGTAGTAGTATGGAAGTTGCCAAGTCATAACCTTTACACCCAAAACAGGCTTGAATCTTTAATTCTGTGTGGAACAGGAAGGAGAGAAACAAGCAGTACAGTCACTTTAACACCAATGTGTCTTTTTTAAAGCAGAGACAATGAAGAAGTTACAAGTGCAAGTAGCAACTACCATCGTTAACAATATACACCCCTTTTAGGTTTTCTTAAAAGCATTTAATGTTCGCTACCCAGAATTGCTAACCTTATTTGAAAGGACTGGTTTGCTGAGGGGGAAGGGGAGGTTTAACTGCTCTAGGTACCTGATGGATAGTCCGAACAATTCTATTTTATGACGTCTCTGCATTCTTTGCATAGCCAGAATTGTCTTTTAATAGTTCAAGAAGAGTCTAGCTGTGGTGGGACTGCTTCAGAAGGGTCTTGAGAAATATTCACGTTGTCATCAAGTTTAAGTATGAAGAAGAAAAAACACAGATGTTTGCAATTCAAAGGGGTGAAAAAAAAAAATTAGAGGCTTGAGAGACTTCCCAAAGTGATGTTGAAACTGTTAAGTAGAAAGAAAAGAGTATGTGCTTTGCGTTCAAACGGTTAGGGTTACTAATAGGTTTTTAAATGGACTTATGTCTATGAACTATCAGAAGAATCTATATTAACAACACAGATTTCACTGCCTTTTCTGTAAAGTAAATCTGGAAGTGTTCTTATGGTTTAGGGTACTATTTTGTCAAATGTTAAACAGTGGAGCACAGAATAAACAGGGAAAGCAAGCTTTGGTTTTTGAGCCTCAGCTAAATTTGTAGAAAGCTGTTGTCTGTGCTTCTCACTGCTTGATGTGGAGTCTGCAAGGGAAAGCTGTCCTGTCCTTGCACTGTTTATCAGTCTCATTAAAAACTGTCCAATGAAAATCATTCAATACTTTTCCTAAATCTCATTACTTCTGTGAGTGGCCTTTTTAGAGTGCATTTACATCCCAGAACCTGTCAAACCTAGCTGAGTAGAATATTGCAGCTGTTAAAATAAAGGTATTTGGAAAGTTCCTGCAAAAAATAAAATATTTTTTTCTTTCATTTGTGGAGTTAAAAGCATTAAAATAGTACAGGTTGCTAATCATTTCTCACTAATACTGAAATTTGTCAGAGCTATTCTGGTAGCACTTCTGACTTACTTTCCAAGTATCAGATTTTAATATTTTTCCTGTCTTCATTATTCCTCTGGTTTTGTATGGGACAGGAAGGTATATGTTGATATTGATGAATGCTCACTTGAAAACGATTGCTGTGGTCACTGGTGTGATTCTAGGATGCCTGTCCAAGCTCGTGCAGTTATGGTATTGTAAGATCAGAAGCAGAGTTTATAAATATCGAACAGTTAAAATTTTACAGTGCAGTGTCAGAATCCCTATTAATGGTGGCTTAAGAAATGGATGGACAAAGTGGAAGAAAAATTTGTCTGCACAATTTGTAGTTTAGAGACACCCACACCTTTCTGTTTGTCCCTTAAAATTACTCTTTTTCCACAAGGTCTTGGAAGCTAGATAAAAAGGGAAATACAACTGAAGTTGTTTTATCTGAAATGTATAGCATGACTTCTAAAGTTGTGATTAATGTTAGTATTTTGCGTCTCTGGTAACTGCATTTGAAAGTTCAGAACTTTCCAGATAGCTCTTAAAACTTGCGTATCAACAGACATCAGATGCTTTTGTTCTCAAGCGTTTTGGAAAGTTTAGATATCATGTGATGTTATTTATAAACTTTCTTTTTAAAAAAACACACTGCTCATATACTTTTCTTAAATAACTTTGGCAAACGCTAGTCCTAAAATGAATAGCCCTGCTATTTAAGCCCTTGAAGAACTGTTGATAGGTACAAGGACTAATTGACATCATCAGAGAAGCTGCTGGGGTTTGACTCCATGCAGTTAGACTGTAATGTTTGAAGCCAAACAACCTTTTACCATGGTCCAGCGTATGCAGAGGCTTCCCTTTGAGTCATTTGTACTTCAGAAAAGTATCTATCAGCTTCTTCCTACAGGAGAATGACACATTTCACGAAATTACATTTGTTTTAAGCAAATGCTGGATTGTTGCACTGCATCTAAAGACCTGAGATCAGTCATATTTCATGAATGCCAACTTCTGAAGGAGCATCAGACTGGCTCTGTGGTTAACAGCTTGGTGCTAAAGAGCTTGGATGGTGTCACCTACCTTTAAGAGAGCACGATAGCCATTGAAGACACGTGCAGCAGTTTAGGCTAGGATGACTCTACCCAACCGTAAGAATCTTGAGCCGTCACTCAGAAGGAATTAAGTGGAAAGGCTATAAAACACACGTTTCTTGTTCAGCAGTCTGCATATCCTTGTTTGTATATTTGTGGGGAACAGGTTGTATAACTGAATGCCTTCTTGTATGGGAACTGGAAAGGATTTTAGCCTTCCTCAGAATTAGCATCCCATCCATATGTGGGGTAGTTTGCATTTTGAGTTATTTTAGTTTCTATATATCGCTCACCCTTTTAACGTGGCTTAGATCACAAATTCGTCTTGTGAAGTAGGCAAATATCATCTTCCATTTACAGAAACATGGTGTTATAACAGTGCTTAGAGAAGCTAACGATAGCATGGGTGACAATGCTTAGAGATGCTATTCCTTATTCCTGCATCAGGAGACTGTCTAGTGCCTTCGTGCTACCTTCTACCATAAAACTAGCAGTAGCTGTAGCCAGCACAGGTAATTATGGACCATCCAGGATTTTAAGAGGAGTGGAAATCATTTCCCATGTTTCAGAACTGCGTTCCTGTTAATACATTCACACCTCTTGATTGATCAGATTATTAACCAGTCCTCTCTTTTCTAAATAATTGAGGTTAGAAATGTACCATATTTTAAGTCTCTTTCCAGCTATGAAGACTAAAATTTTATTTCCAAAACCAAAAAACGTATCTCACTTAACCTCGCTGTTTCATGACCAACTACGCCCTCACAAGTGGGGTGGTTCCGAAGAGGAAATTCGTAAGAGTTAGTCTGTTACAGTTCTGTTTCTGTGGGAGTTCTGCAGACTTAACCTCCAGAAGTTCAGTAGTTTGGTCAGCTAGACGGCATCTTCAACAGAAGATAATCTGCTCTTGCAGGCCAGAGAACAGGCAAACACCCTGTCAACAGCAGTAAATGGAAACTTAAAACATTAACAGCACATGCTAAATTTCTATTTCTTAGTTTGAACTGCAAACAAGTTTTCCTCTATGACTAAGCTCAAAGTAATCAGTATGTTGCTTAGGAACACTTACAAGTGGTTCTGACTCACTTCATCCATTTTTTTTTTTTTTTCTATTGTTGTTCTTGTTCATTAATAGAGATGCCCTGGATGCCCTTGGTTTGAAGAGATACTGCTGCCGCAGAATGCTCCTAGCCCATGTGGATCTGATTGAGAAGCTTTTGAATTATGCACCCCTGGAGAAATGAGATGAAAAAAAAAAATTCCATGCTGCAAGCCACGTGGAACGTATCTCTAATTCTAAACTTGAAACTGGACTTCAGGCAGTCAAGGATGAAAGCCACCTGTAGTGTAACCACTGAGAGATGTTAGCCTTCTGGAGAAAATACTGCCCCGAGGCGCTAACCTCTTTCAAGGAAACAAAGGAAAGATGAAGTCCACTTAACCAAGACTTGGAGATTAAATTAAAAGTTTGGATGCTTCTTTTTAAATCTGTGTTTGGAATTGGTTTTTTAACTTTCAGCAAAAAATAAATGTTTGTTCATGTAGAAAAATTACTATATTTCATAAAAATGTGGAAATAAAGGAGGTCTTTCCCTGTAGCCTGCCTACGGTTTCTGGATAGGGTTAAGCTCATGCTTGGATCTTGCCCTTTGCTTGTGCTGGTTACTTTGAGGTTAGGAGCACAATTAAGGAATCAGTTCAGTGTTTTGCAGTAGGCAGGCAAGGGGGTTAGAAACTTGGGACTGAAGCTCGGGGTTCTAGTGACAGGGAAGTGGGTAAGTTAGTTTGGGAAGAACGGGGTGTTACTCCTGAAAGCTGGAGCTAACTGCGCTTTCCATGGCACTTAAAGTCAACTTGCAGTCTCTACCCCGATTCCTGTAAAACACTGGGGCTGCTGTATTATAAAAAGCAGAGAATCAGATGGTGCAGTGCCCTTCACTTAGGTAAAACATCTATGAATGTTCCCACAGAAAGCGCTGGATGTGAGAATTTACGCGTGCTGGTGCGAACAGGATCAAAGTCTCGATCTTGCCAAGCACCTGCACCGCTCTCCGGCTGGTACACATGCGAGCTCTCCGCTCGTTAGTCACTTCATTGGCTCTGTGGAGCGGTGCTGCCTGGCCCAACGGAGAGCGCGCTCTGCTCTCCTAGTGGAGCAAAACACCGAGAGCTCAGCTGTACCCACAGGGCTCACTGAGGTTACCTATGCTGAGGGACCGGCACTGACCCTGCCAAAAAAGGTCCTGCTTGAAAGCTGTGCCGCGTTTCATGCTGTTCTCCGATACCCAGAACGTGCATCGGTCGGGGTAATGTCTGCCCAGGCAGACACACCCACCTTACCTGAAAACGAAGGAGGCCAATTCATACATCTGTGCGTGCTCAGGGTTCTGTTCAAATGCAGCGTTAGCCCGTATGCAGACGTAGGACAAATCAGCAGCCGTGTAGAAAACGGGCTGGAACGGGTGATAAGCCCTTAGCTTGCCGTCTGTCATTCCTTGGTACAGTTAAACTTCTGGCATTTGTGTATTGGCTGCTGAGTAAGAAATATCTCTGTGGATTCCTTTCCATAGTTTTAAGAACTCCAACAAAGTTGGTTTGAACAGATACGGTCATTATTTAATGTGCTTACCGGGTCAACCTTGTACGCAGAAACCTTAAAACCAGATTGTCTCACAAAATAAGTTGCAGGACAGCTTGCCTTTGGCTATCACCCCACCAATCTTTACACTTGAACTTGCTTTTCAATTTAGCACAAGGCCGTAGTAGAAGTTTCCCATATTCAGCAGTTCTTCACTGAAGACATTTTAAAACCATATGCTTTATCCTAATGCAAGGAGAATTAAGCAATTAATTCTAGCATTTGTTTCATAGTTGGTTGGATAGCTTATGTCCTGCATGCCTGCTGTATTAGCAGGCTAAATGCACTTTAAAGGAAAAAGAAAAAAAAAAAATCTTCGCTTCTCTTTCAGGCTGTTTTTTTAAACAGGACACCATGAAATATAGGATGACCTTTCCAAACTGAACTCCTGTAGGATGCCTTTCCACATTACAGTGGAGCATTACACGGAGATACATGCCAGCTTGTTCGCAGAAAGATCAAACCGCCGCGCCCAGCGCTGGTTCCGTGAGCTGTACTGAGAAAGCGCAGCAGCCCGGGCTGGTACGTCTGGCAGAGGCAGCCGTGCATGATGCCGTGCAGAAAGCTGTCCTGCGTCCGTGCCAAAGAACTGGATTAGACGAGCCGACAGGACTTGGTTTCTATCTGCAAAAGCAATTTTCTAATCTGGTTTTCTGCTTCAGAATAACATGTTTCTTTTCAAAGCTGACGCCAAGTTGTCTGATGTGAAAAGCTATGGCTCTTAAATACTTGAAATGAAGATGCAATTTGCAAAAACACAGCAGGCCTCGTTCAAAATTTCAAAGCAAAAAGAAAAACCACCTTGGTTGCTCTCATTACTGCTTCTCAGACAGAAAACAGGGTGCAGTGGAAGCCAATGACAGTCTGGTACCACTCCATCAGACAGATGTTACACAAGGAGCAGCAGAAAAAAAAAGAGTAGCAAGACTAAGTCACAACGGGCATGAATATTAGCTCATGCAGCACATGACAACCTGTCTGCATCACAGAGTAGCAAGACTAAGTCACAACAGGCATGAATATTCTCATGCAGCACATGACAACCTGTCTGCATCACAGCTTTTCCTCGGGAGTTTGCAAACGCAGCATTGACCAAAAAAGCCATTTCTGTGATGTGGTGAAGGAAACAGTTTATCGTGTTCGTATGAAAGGTTGTCTCAAGAGTTTTGTCCTTGAGAGAGTTAGGAGCAGAAGCAGAGCTTAAATTCTGTTCCGTAAAGAGTCAGTGAATTTTTCAATGGATTTCTATAAATCCCAGCTTTCACCCCTGCTCTTTGGTAACTGGGAAAGCAATTCCCTTCTCGCTGTCATGTCTCCCGTGCTTGCTTCTGCGGCTGTTAATAACATAAGCGTATTGGATCTGCTTTGTAACCTGCCAGATCTCTTTGAGAAGAGCCATTAAACATGCTCACAACAACCGTACTTTTTAAAATCAATGTAAAAGACACATGCGTATACACAGGAAAAAAAAAAAAAAAAGCGCCTTGGTTTTCCCTGAATCTTAATAAAAAGGAGCCCTTAGCAGAATCAACAGATAGGCAGAAGTGGCAAAAAAAAAAAAAAAAAAAAAAAAAAGTCGTACTGAAAATGCAGCCCTTAATTACATGCAGAAATCTGTCAATTGGAAAACTGCTGAAAAACAAAAATCCCACCACTCTTCTGCAGTCGTTCATTTGCTTTATGTATAAAATATTCTGGAAATTTTTCAAGTCTGTTTTGAAAGACTGTTGCAGGGATCACACTAACCTGGTATTAGAAAAACAAGCAAGCATGACCAGAAGTGTAAGGGAAGAACCCCACCACCCAGGCTGCAGCCTCCCTGGGGCCAGGGCAGCCTCAGGTGGCACTTTCACATGTCGCTATCATATAAAAATAATGAAGCACATGATGGGAGCTGTGGTCATGAAAGTACAGGGGAATCTGCCTGGGGAGTCCAGCGTCCTGCTCCTACCTGGAGCATCAGCATCAAGATGTGTGTGTGCTTGGAAAGCTTCACGTTCCTTGAAATGACAGTTTTAAACAAAAACAACTCTTAATCACGATTGCGAGTCCATCTGCAGGGAGGAAGCGAAGTGCTTTCATGCCTATCATGACGAGCCTCAAGCCTTATATTTCAAAAGGAGTTTTGCTCTGTGAAACAACCTCATGTGAGGGTCTTGCCCCAGGGTGGTTTACTGAGAGATGTGTGCTGGGTTTTTGTTCTTCCCATGACCTTTCCCCAAATGCAGCCTGGAATTAGATACTAAAGCCTGACTTCTTGCATATGCTTCTTATCTATAGGAAGAAAAATGAAAACTCTGAAACCCCTGATTACAACCAGAGCACAAACCCCGTAGCTGTACATTTCCATAGAGATGCCTAACTAGCCCTGTGGCTACAAATCTGCTTTTCATTGGCAATAAACTATGAGGATCCAGAACACGAGCTACTTCTTTCCCTGCAAATAGCTCCTCGGGAAAAAACATGGTTTCTCCCTCCCACCAAAACAAAACCCCACCAAAACCAAATAGCCCATTTGCCTCCACAAGCAGTTTAATTCCAAATAGTTTCTAACTTCAGTACTGATCCTAGCAAGAAAATAGCACTGCTCCTTCGTCCCCTCTCTGAGCAGATCCATGTACATCCATTTGAACTTAATTAGGCAGAAAGATTTTCTTACGCCTGGAACTTCTTGGTTGAGACATCTCCAAAATAACATTATTTCCACCTGGCTCTGCCCAGATGATGAACATAGCTTTGATTTCCCCGTCAGCGCATTTGTGCCATGATTTACATTGTGCCTCTGTTTTCAGATCCAATTTTTATTTAGTTCCTCCAGCCAGAGAAAAAGCATTTTTAATTGTTCAATAGGGACAGCACAATAGAGATGTTTTAAAACCAGGGACAGGAAGCACGTGGCTGAGGCTTCAGCTTCGCCGGGCTGCACCGTTTGATGTGTCGCCCACTGAAGTCTGTGGGAGTCTTTTCATTAACTTCAACGTGACTTAAAATGGCCTGGTAGCATGCGGTGCCTTACACCACTCGAGTGTCCAGGATTAATTCGTTTTGTTAAGTTCTGCTAAGAAAAGCTCTTTGAGTATTTAAGGCTTGGACACCTCAAAGAGCTCTCAGATCTTGCTGCAGACCTCAGCTGCGTGCACCTCCAGCACATAAGGCCATAAAAAAAAAAAAAAAAAGGTAAGAAGTTATCTTTGGCTTCAGTGACTCCAGCCACCTGGGGGGGGAGCTGCAAGGCAACCAGCTTCGATTTGGGCTAGCGCTTGGAAACGGCACAATATTTACATGGGAGTAGGTCTCATTTAAACCCTCATCTCTTTGTCCTTGACACTCCCTTACAGAAATATACAGGGGATGTAAGGCTGAGACATGCAGAGTGCATTAGGTTTTACACCCCCAATCTTATTTCTCCTTCTCCATAAACGCACATCTCCCAGGCTTTGTCAATCACCCATTTTGGTGGCCTACACCTTGTCTTGTGCTTGTAGGTCACACGTAGCTGAGGTGAAGACGTGGAACTTCCAAGCACCACACACGTTTCCCCACAATTTCCTTCCTGATGCATCTGCTCCCATATCGAACATTGTGTCTTGTAACAGCCAAGCTAGAAAATTCATGCAGGAGAGTCTTTCATTTATCCCTTCCAAATACGAAGCAAGTGTTTTAATAAAACGGGTTCATTATTTCCTGCTTTCAGGAGCTGAACAAACAGCAATCAAAGAAAGGCAGGGAAGAGCAGACAAAAAGCTAACAGCCTACGTACTTTGGGGAGCACAAGAAACCAGGAGTTAACAGGAACCCTCAAGGCAAGCAGCAAAGGCTGTGGTCAAAACTTTCCGTAGGCACTGATCATAGAATGTTTTGGGTTGGAAGGGACC